GAATTTTGAGAATGGCATTGACGACTACTTCGTCGAATACCGAGCCTCGCATCATACGTCCAAATAACTAGACTTCTTTAGAATGCTGGTCAGCTCGATCTCAAGACACGACGTACCTCTCGTCCGTCAATGCGCATCTGAGACTCGGGTGGAAGTGATGGAAATGCTAAGTGCTCATGAGACGAGTTGGAGTCTGTTCCAAACTTACTAACCTATAGCGCGTTTCTTGCAATAATCGTTGTACAAGACCTTGCCCTTTCCTACGTCTGATAATTCTTTGCTGAAGCCCGTGTAGAATGTGCGAAGATCTATTTCCCCTCGCTCAAACCTCTGCCATGCTCCTTTGGAGCCATGCCCAGTGCTAATGAAGAGTATTAAGACAATATTCGGATCGATACTTCGGCAATCTTACATCAGGACATTGATCCAGTCCTTGGGGAACCCTCGTTCGCGCTCATATGCGCTTATGGCTATAAGCGGAGAGGTGATCACCACCCCTCCAATATCGAATATTACGGCGCGAAAGCTTGATTTCCTGAATAGCGTAGTTGTAGGAGCTCAAATAGATTGGTTCGCGCGCAACAAACGACTTACCTCGAAGTCATGGTGGAGAAGAGAGTTTCGTCGTCGGATTCCGGCAAATGTTTACCGGCAGATTTACAGAACATGGTTTTCATTCATTTTAAAATTTCTTCAATATATTTGTGTTTATTTGGCGCGAAGGGAGCTATTTAGAATGAATGACGCGGAGTTTGGGCGTCTCGTACCTCTTAGAATTTAACCCTTACCACCACCTTTTCTGAACGACAACTATGCACGCGAGCGAATACGACTACCTTTTCAAGCTCCTATTAATTGGCGATTCTGGGGTCGGAAAGTCCTGTTTATTGCTTCGATTTGCGGACGACACGTACACCGAAAGCTATATCTCCACGATTGGAGTGGACTTCAAGATCAGGACTATTGAACTCGAAGGAAAGACGGTTAAACTTCAAATTGTTGGTATTGTTATCTAAATTCTCCCTCCTCTTTGCCTGTGCTCCATCTCCCCCCGCTCCCCTCGGTCAGAGATTGAGTCCAGGACATGCTCAGCGCCAGTATAGTGAGCTTGGTACAAACGCTGACTGTCCTGACCCGTTGATCCCTTTTACCGGCCGATCGCATAGTATCCCAGCGTGTGCTTTAAATAGGTAGCTGACCTGGGCCTTTTTCTTATGTTTAGTGGGACACTGCTGGTCAAGAGCGCTTCCGAACTATCACATCCTCCTACTATAGGGGTGCTCACGGAATTATTGTTGTTTATGATGTGACCGACACGGGTACGCTCCATTTCACGAGTATGGCCGCATCATTTCTCATGCCAACGCTTCACAGACACATTCACCAATGTCAAGCAATGGCTACAAGAAATCGACAGATACGCGTCTGAGGGTGTCAACAAACTCCTCGTGGGTAACAAGTCTGATTTGACAACGAAGAAAGTTGTCGAATATACTGTGGCCAAGGTCGGTCTTATTCCGTGAAGCCCGGATTGCTGTTCCATGTATAGCTGATGCCTGGTTTTGCTTCAATAGGAATTTGCTGAGCAGCTCGGCATCCCATTCCTGGAGACATCTGCTAAGAATGCTACCAACGTCGAGCAAGCTTTCTTGACCATGGCTAAGCAGATCAAGGACAAGTAAGAGCTACTTGATTTGTGTAAAGACATTTATGCTGATATTTTGGGATATAGGATGGGCTCGAACACCGCAGGCGGTCCAGCCAAGTCCAACACCATTACTCCCGGACAAGGAATCAACCAACAAACCTCAAGCGGTTGCTGCTAAATGCAATCGATCCTTGGTCAGATGTATTGGAAGAATATAGCCTGCGGCAGTGATTCGCTAATTCATCCACCTTCACCATAAACATATCCTATCATGCTGTAGTCACTATATTCCCTCAATCATGTGAGCACATTACCCGTCCCTTCCTTGCTTAATCGCTCGGTTGTGTATGGACCTTTTATAGCCTTCTATGTTTCGCTTCGGACCGTGCGCGTGTAGTCGTCATTGTCCTCAATACTTCCCTCTTTTTTTATGCATTATGTTTGTTTACCGTAAATTCGTCGACATAAAGTGTAAAGTAAAGTGAAACGGCAGAACTGTCACCTTTGAGCAGCTATCTAACTTTGCCAAGAAAGGCCGATCCCGTCTAAAATCCGCCCGGTATTTCTTGGATTCTTGCCAATCTTCTGCGCCCCCACTTTTGGACACTTAGATACGGCGTAGTTCACGCAAAGCTTGGATAGAACCACAACAAATAATGTGTGCGTACATGGCTATAATGTCAATTTTATTTAACTAACATAAAAATGGGCGGTGAATAGTTTGTTTTGTAGGTGCGCACGACTAATTCGTCATTTGACGGGGGAGAATGAGCTCAAATATGCTTCGCAGTTGGATGTAACGCAGACTTTGAACAACACCAAGATGGTGTTGCTAGAGTTTGTCCAAGATGTAACAATGGTGAGTTGCTCATGTTTCTGCCTGGTCCGTCACTCAACCATGGAATCGTATAGCGTCTATTGTCGGAGGAGTAAAGAAGACCTACCTTGAATTGTGTGTGAAATCTCCCGAAGCTATCACTTTGTGCATGAAATGACTGCTCTTCTAGTTGCTTTATACCCCTTTCGTTCCTTCCTATATCCAAAAAGCAAATCTGGATATGCCCTGTCTGCAATTGGAACCTTTCCAAGGACCGTGGAGAGCCTCAGAGGGTCGGAGCCCCTTCAAATTATCACCCAAATCCTGGTGGCTACCAGCAACAGCCCGGATATGGCAAACCACAAGGCGCTATGGGTCATTATCCCGGACAGGGTAGATAGGCTGGAAGACCTGATATGTACTCAAATATGCGGCCACACACATGCAATATGGCTTCTTATGACTTAGGTCCAGATCTTGCACATGAATTTATCAAGTTTATTTGCGAATAAATACAATTCCTTGTATGAGGAAAGAGGATCTGAACTTTCAGCAAGTGAAGACAGCTGTAGGATAAGCATTAGCAATATGCTCAACGTTTATAGTCAATCAATTCACGTACATGGCCCGGGAATTGTATAGGTGGTCTGACCATTGTAGAGGTTGTATGTGATTCCCGGGTCGGACGACTTGTAAGCACCTGATTCAAGTCAATCTTTGAACTCAAAACGGCTTGTGTAGGACCTTACCTGGGAAAGATACGGTGCTTGTTGGGGTCTTGGAACCACCACCAGTGACGTTGAGGTTGCCACATCTAAATCAAACCTTGTCAGCGAAAGTCTCTTAAAAGTTGGAATACTCACTCCATGTAAAGCTGAGCACCAGGGTAGGAGCTTGCAGCATGCCTGTGGAGAAGTCTAGTTATTTGGACGTATGATGCGAGGCTCGGTATTCGACGAAGTAGTCGTCAATGCCATTCTCAAAATTCGAGGTATGCTTTTGCTCACCCGCTGCCGACCTTCGGGTTCACAATGTTGGATAAATCCATTTGAACATAGAAACGAAGCGATATCGTGTCATAGCAGTGACCAACAACTTTGGAAATTCAACTGTGGGTATCGAACCTAGTGAACTCGAATTCCTAGGATGGACAGAAGAGGCGGCATCCGCGTCACCTCGATTAAAGGAACTCTTTGACGATTATATAGACTCTAGTGAAGTTGGCCTTCGGTGCGTAGCCTGGTCGTGTTGATGTGACCTCGGCTGAACGTTCTTGTAGAAAACCAGATCCTGCGATTTATAGGCTCGCTTGTGAGCGAAATGGAGTGGCCCCAGGGGAGGTGATTATGTTGGATGATCTAGGAATGTAAGTAGAATACCCCTTATGGGTGTATTGTTCCTCATAACTTCACAGGAATCTCAAGTCTGCGAAAGAGTTGGGGATAACCACCATTCGTGAGTTGGGAATAGTAGCCGTTAAACACTGTCACTGAATCATATATAAAGAGGTTCCCATAGATGACTCAAAGGCGGCAGTACAGAAGTTGGGTGATTTACTGGGGCTGCAACTGCTTGAGGATGACGGCAGACGGTCCAGGCTTTAAGGATAGGGTCCAGAATATAAATAAGAAATTAAATTCCAACGGAATCTACGTCTCTATAGACAAGAAATTTAGTAGGGCTTGTCTTCTGGTACTGTCTTGTCTGTCCAAATATCTCCGAACTACAAAAAATTCGTTGAGAAGGTCGACGCCACGATGAATGCCATAACTTACGACCGGGACCTTGATTAGGACATCTTTCTTGAAGATAGGTGTATTTGAGAGGAGCAGGGAAAGAGTGATACCCGTGCTGACACCCCATAATGCGAGAGGGAACCTCCAAGCTCTAAAGCCCTGTGTAAAGGCACCAATAGTTAGCTATCATGGAAAATCAAGCCATTTGGAGAAATTTACAGCAGGTGTGATGCCTAGTGCACGTGTATAGGATCCAGCGGGCCTCAATATTAAGGTGCGGGCCATTGCGTTGATGGAGTCGAAGTTCAAGTTTTGAAGTTGAACCACACTCGCCTCTTTTTAGAAGTTGGCCGGCTGATTCCCGAATGATACGAAGTTTCATATAGGCGCAAATTAATTATTGCTTATCCAATCTCAACGTCAGTTCTACCGCAAACTCTCCAAAGCGGGCGTTCCGTATTTGAATTTGAACCTTCAACCTCGACTCACCTCCTGCTACAATGAACACGCTTGTATAAGGAATATCACTTCAATGGCCTCTTTCATCTATTAAGTTTGAATTCCTTTCATTCGGAATGGCTTAATCCATTGATAGTGTGGAGCGCAGCGTTGTCGAAATGGATACTTTCCCCTCTGGCGGTCGATAGAAAGTGGCTCTGACCATGCCATTTGACCGAAAATGAATGATTATTCACCGTCTAAGATGGGACGATAGAAGGGGGATACATGCCACTCTCTATGATCTAGACTCACTTACCTGCCTAAACGCAATTCAGGCTTATAGATGCCGTTGACACAATATAAATACCGGTGTTCATTTGGACCTCCCTTTCATCTTGGGGCGTATGGTGGAGACCGGGCGAGATGGGAATGGTTTCATCAGCAATCCCTCTACGTCTACACGGCCATACCTCGTTTAACTCCCTGACCATCTTATTCAAATAAGAAGAGCAAAGGGAATGTTCTTTCCCCGATGATGAGATGCTGGTCCAACTGCGGTCCACAAGGGGGGTTCGCTTTTCTGGGGTTAGGGAGAATTGGTCATGTCGCAGGGTAGTCTCTACATTCCGATACACAAGTCCTGATTCCGATACACAAGTCCTGGTGAGTGAAGATGGCTGTTCTGGAACGTCATCCTGATCATGTCCAAATTGTCAGCTGCTCAACGTTCGATCTCAAAAGTGTGCTGTAGACACGCTCTTATGGCGACAAAGCAGCCTGGAATCTACACTCTACCAACTTTCCGTTATTTGGAGGTCGGAGGAGGGTAATGGGGACATATGGCAGTGAGGAAGCGTCCACTTTGGTGGAGGCTGCATCGCAGTTACAGGCCACGTAAGATTTACAGGTAAGCCAAATTTCGTTCTGTCATAAAACGTCATAACGAACGTCTAAGTATTGGTAAGTGTCAGGGAAATTCACTTACTCCGACCATCGGGCGTCCTCCGAGGATGACAGCCTCGAGTTTACCACAACACCAGAGCGACTTTTCTGATGTCATGATCACAAGAAAGGGGTATAAAGCAACTAGAAGAGCAGTCATTTCATGCACAAAGTGATAGCTTCGGGAGATTTCACACACAATT